GCCCCCCGGCGCCCCCCCCCCCCCCCCCCCCGCCCCCGCCCGCCGCGCCCGCCCCGCCCGGACCCCCGGGCCCGGCCCCGGGACGGGGAGGGGGACACACGGACAGCCATGGGGACAGACGGACGGCGATGAGCGAGAACGGGGACAAGCGGGCAGGGAGGGGGATGGAAACACGGACAGGAACGGGATGGGGACGCGCGGAGACACAAACAGGGTCACACGGATAGGGACGGGTGGGGATGGGGACAGGGACACACGGATGGGAACACACAGAGAGAGATGGGGACACGGGGGGGTGAGGGTGGAGAGCCAGGCAGGGAGACACTGGACAGGGACACACGGACAGGGACACTTGGGGATGGGGACACACGGACAGGGACCCCACATGGACAGGGACACTTGGGGATGGGGACACACGGACAGGGACCCCACACGGACAGGGACACACGTGGGGACATGAATCCATATGAGGAGGGGCAGCCCAGGGACTTGTGGATGGGGACAGAGCCCCACAGGTGGTGACAGGGGACACAGGGACAGGACAGACGGATGCCAAGGTCCCAGCCAGGCAGGGCACGGCTGGCAGAGGGTGCCGTGAGCCCCAGCGGCAGTCGGGGGTGGCCTGGGCAGCGATGCCGGGCTTTGGGGACACAGAGGCCACGGTGCCACCCCAGCACAGGGCCTTTGTCACCAGCTGGTGTCACTGCTCATGGCAGAGCCCCAAAACCCCAGAGGGGACACACGGGGGGTCCTGGTGGGGCTGTGGGACGCTCAAGTGCTGCCTGAGCGGGAGCAGAAGAGCTGCAGGGTGACCATCCCCAGCTGTGTGTCCCAGAGGTGACAGAAGTGACTCCGGGGCTCCCGTGGTCCCTGCCACAGCCGGGGTCTGCTCCTGCCTCCCCCCCAGCCCACTCCTGAGTGGTGGCAGCAATTAAAATCCGCAGCCTCTATTAATAAACAGCCGGCGGGCACCGGGCCACGGTGGCACCCACGCGTCCCCACGGGAACGGGGAGAACGACACGGGGACCTCGGCCCGCCCCGTGAGGTGACAATGCCCGGGGTGGGGGGTGGCAGCCTCAGCCCCCCGCGCCGCGCTCGGAGCCGGATACTCCTCGTTAGAGGGAATGAATGAGTTTTCCTTGATCGTTTTCCTGCGGCTCCTCCTCGTTCCATTGAGCCGCAGCTCCCCGCCGGGCCTGACGCAACGGGGCGGCCGCTCACGCAGGGCTGAATCACGGCGCTGCCGAGCCGGGGGTGCTGGGGGGGTCCCGTCCCCCCTCCCCCGGGCTCGGCACGGCTCGGGGGGGTCCGGCCGGAGGGGTTTGGTTGCCCGGGGAGGGGGCTCAGCCCACGCCGGGGCTGGGCACGTGTGGCCGCCGCGTGAGCCGGACGCGGAGCAGCCACGGGGGACAGCAAAAAAAAAAAAGCGAGTGACAGCGAGGGGAGAAGGGCAGGGAATTTATTGGGAGCAGCAGGGCCTCCTCCTCCTCCAGCCCGGAGCACGGGATGATCCTGTGGATGAACCCCCCCCCCAAAGGCGGCGGGATGAGGATGGGGGAGCTCAGCACACCCAGGCGCTTCACAGCCCTCCCCGATCCCAAACTGCAGCAGGAGGAGGGTGCGAAACGGAGGTGACAGCCCAACAGGGGACACTCAGCACCGTGTCACCTCTCCCCCTCATCCCCCCCAGGAGAGAGGTCACCCCTCAGGGGAGGTGACAGAGCCCTGAGGCTTTACCACGCCGAAGCAAATCACGTTCTCCTCATCCTGCTGGTTTGTGTCATGCCAAGCCCAAAATAACCTCCCTCCGCCTCGCCCCCCCTCTCCACTCCAGGTTTTCAAAGGAAGATTAATTGACTCGGGGATGTTGCAGCAATTAAACTAACGAGCCCCAGGATCTGTCAGATGATGCTCAGCTGCCTCCATATGCTGCAGCTGGGCCACCGCGGAGGCTCCGAGCCTCCTTCCCGCTGCCGGCACTGCGCCATCCTTATAATTCCATCAGCGCTTCCAGGAGCCCGGCGGAAGCTGCTGCAGGAGCGAAGGCTCCGGGTAATTAAAATGCAGCCCCTGCCTGAGCCAGGCTGTGATTCACGGCTGGGGAGGAGCACATTCCCAGCTCCAGCCTCTGATCCCAGCTCCTTGCTCCCAAGGGTAAATCCGGCGGGATCGGCGGCACACGGAGCTTCCCTGGGGCTCTGCGGCTGCTGAGGGCTGCTCGTGTTTCCCAGCAGCGGCTCCGCTCCCCGCCAAGGGAGGCCATTCCATTCCTTTGGAAACCTGGAGAAGCCTCGGAGCAGCCCCTGATGGGAACTGCTCAGCCCCCAGGACTGCAGAGCACTGAAAACACCAGAGTTTGCCCCAAAATATCAGTGCTGGAAATTGTTACTGCCCGTTTGCTGCGAGCTCGTGGATCCCAGGTTCTGGATAACGCAAGGATCTGTTCCATCCCTGCAAGTGTCCAAGGCTAGGCTGGACAGGGTTTGGAGCAACCTGGGATAGTGGAAGGTGTCCCTGCCATGGCACTGGATGGGCTTTAAGGTCCCTCCCAACCCAAACCACCCTGGGATTCATCCTGATTTTCAGAGGTTTTCCTTAGGGAACGCTCAGCCTGTGGATACCATGCTGAGAAGGAAGCAGGGCAGAGGGGCCTGGCCTCGTTTCTTCCATGAATCCCTGGGAAAGCCGAGCTCCCCGAGCTCCAGGTGGGCCACTGGAAGCTGCGTGGAGCCAGCAGGGCCCAGAAGGCTGGAGCCCCACAGGGATGTTATTTTTGGCAGCTCTTACAACCAGGTTTTGCTCCGAACTAAGCCAGCGAAAGCAGCTTAGCGCAGCCTGGCAATCCCTGCTCCCACCTGCTCTGCCTCCATTCCTGCTTGTTCCTCACCTCCTCGGAGCCCCCGCAGCAGGCTCCCGGCCCGAGGGGAAGGAGGGAGAGCGGGGTGGGCTCTGGGCAGTGCAGGAAGCCACAGGCACTCGAGGAGCTCCTGGAAGCACATTTTACCCAGATCCTTAACGTCTGTGTCCGCTAATCCCCGCAGTCCCTCGGGCAGGGACAATCCCTCGGGATATTCCTCACTCTGAACACACGGGAAGAGCTTCTCCTCCTCCAGGTCCTCACGGAAACACCGCCCGGCTCGGGCCGTTCCAGCGGTGAAAGGGGCGGCTCCTCCCGGCGCCGGTGGGAGGGGAGAGGCGAGCTTTGCTCCCTCGGCTTCCCGAGACTCCCGGCTCACCAGGGGATGAGCACCAGCCCGGCCAGCGCGGCGTAGCCCAGCACCAGACACAGCACCTTGAGCAGCCGGTGGCTCTTGTCCTCCAGCTCCTTGGCCAGGATCTCGAAGAAGGTGATGAAGAGGAAGGTGCCGCCGGCGACGCCCTGCAGCAGCAGGGACGCCACGCTGCCCGCGGCGTTGCGGCTGCTCTCGATGCCCATCCCGACGCCGATTCCCAGCGGGATCATCAGGCACACGGCCACCGCCAGCTTGGCCGCGTCCCTCAGCGGCAGCGAGGCCTTGGCCATGCTGATGCCCAAAGCCACGGCCACCAGTGTCTCGTGCACGGCCACTCCCAGGAACAAGCTGACCACTCTGCCGCCGTCCTCCTGCAGGCCCAGGGCCAGGCCCTCGAAGATGGAGTGGGTGCACAGGGCGAACACCAGCCCCAGCAGGCGCCGGGGGCCGCAGCGCGCCAGCTCCGGGAGCGCCAGGCCGTGCGAGGCGGGGCCGTGCTCCCCGTACGGGGCGCGCCCGCGGGACGAGCCCATGAACGGGCTCTCGTACTCAGAGTCGCTGCCCGCGTCCGAGCCGGCGTTGAAGGTCTCCAGGTCGATGAAGGAGGGTTTCTCCTTCTGGAAGGTCAGGAAGAGCTGGTCCACGAAGACCGACAGGAAGAAGCCGACCATCATGATGGTCTCGGCCACGGGGTAGTCCGTGGTCACGTTGTTCTGCCTGAGCACCTCATCGAGCTGGAAGGGAGCAAAAGATCCAGCTCTTTATCCCTCTGGAGGGAAACATTCCCACAGATCCACAATGGATCCAGCTCTTTATCCCTCTGGAGGGAAACATTCCCACAGATCCACAATGGATCCAGCTCTTTATCCCTCTGGAGGGAAACATTCCCACAGATCCACAATGGATCCAGCCCTTTTTCCCTCTGGAGGGAAACATTCCCACAGATCCACAATGGATCCAGCCCTTTATCCCTCTGGAAGGAACCATTCCCACAGACCCACATTGAATCCATCCCCTTTATCCCCCTGAAGGGAGACATCATTTCCCACACCATTCCCACAGACCCACAGTGAGTCCATCCCTCTGTCCCTCGGCAGGGAGACATTCCCACACGGACACTCCATGGATCCGTGATGTACCTTGGCAGGGGACAGGGAATCTCTGCCTTGCTGTTTGATCCTCGCAGCCTCCTCTGCATCCCACAAATCCCCATGATTTCCATGGAGAGAGGCAGGAGCTGCCCTTCACGGACACACCAGAGCTGTCTGAGGCGGCTCCAGCAGGACACAGCCCCCTCACTCCCATTCCCACCCGGGATCCCGCCATCCCTAATCCAGGATTTCACCGGGACTCACCTTCCCTCTCACGGCGGGCAGGAGGGCGTTGAAGCAGGTGGCCAGGAAGACGCCGCCTCCGAAGGAATTCCAGAGGGCCAGGATCTTCCGGGAGCGCTGAGCCTTCTCGTAGTCGGCCTCGATGATCCTGACGGGCAGCAGGGCCCCGGCCAGCACCAGGACACAGATCCCCAGCAGACACAGCACCTTGGCCACCACGATCCTCATCCTGCCAGGATTCCAGAGCCTCTGGGTGTGCTCAGAGCAGGAACATCAGCCTGGACAGGGTTGGGAATAACACAGAGATTTATTTTTTTTTCCCCTTTAGGAGCCAAAGGAAGCAGCAGGGAAAAGTTAAAAGTGTGTTCAAAAGGAATTTGAGAGCCCTGGAATTGTGGTCAACTCAAACCACCCTTCCCTGCAGGTCTTTGAGGCCAGGTTGGACAATGGGAAATCCCTGCCAGGGCCTCCCCACACTCCCAGGGTGGAATTCCTTCCCAAATTTCCATCTGTCTCCTTCCCAAAATCCCATCTATCCCCTTCCCAAAATCCCATCTGTCCCCTTCCCAAAATCCCATCTGTCCCCTTCCCAAAATCCCATCTGTCCCCTTCCCAAAATCCCATCTGTCCCCTTCCCAAAATCCCATCTGTCCCCTTCCCAAAATCCCATCTATCCCAGCCCTGTGGCCCATTCCCCATGTCCTGCCAGCCCAGGCCCCGTGCCACATGCCCTCTTTAAGGGACATTAAGGGACAAAGAGAGGAATTCAGAACCCATCAGGTGACACTGACTCACTCCAGGTCTGGCCAAGCCCAAAATCTGGGCCCAGGCACCACCCACAGCCGTGCCAGGGCAGAGGGAAGGGATCAAATCCTCCTTTCCCACAGCTCACACCTCTGGAACCCACCTGGCTCCCCTCAGAAACCCTTAAACCTCTTTTTTTCCCCCATTTTTAACCCAAACCAGCCCCCTCCAAAGCCTCGAGCTCCTGAGTTGAGGCAGAGCAGCCACATCCAGCATCCCTGAATGGATGGAGGGAAAGGAAGCTCCAGGAACACCCCAGGAACTCCTCACCTGCTCCTCCTGCACACCTGGGCTGCGTCCCCAGCCCCAAAACCGCTGCAGCAAGGCACTGACTCGGCTCCTGCTCGGATTAGCAGCTCATAACGAAGCATCCAAGCGATGAAAAATATTATATAAATCAGTCAGGGCTCTGCGGGAGGAAAAACAAAGGGGTTCCTCATCCGTGAGCCTCTAAATCCCAGGGATTCTGTTAAAAACCGGCCCTTCCAAGCCTTGCAGATTGTCCTATCAGTTTAAAAAAGGGGGTGATGGGGAAGGGGCTCCTCGAAAGGGGGCAGAGATGAGGGGAGGGGGCTCAGGGCTGCTGGGAGGGGGGTGAGCAGCTCAAATGGCGAGAGTTCAGCTGGGGAGACCCTCAGAGGGGGCCGGGGTCTGCCCTGAGCCCTCCAAGGTGGGGAGAGGGCCCAGCTCCAGCCCCTCGCAGGCAGATGGAGCCCAGCCTGAGCCCCTCAGGATGGGGAAGGGGCCCAGCCCGAGCCCCTCATGGCGAGAAACCCCTCACAGGAGCTTGGGGTCCGCCGCCATCCCCTCACACCCAGAGCGGCCGAGCCCCAACCCCTCAACACAAGGTTGGGGTCCAGCCCCTCACACAGGGGGCCGCTCTCCCGGCCTTCTCCCCCTCCCAGCCCCGCTGAGACCCCCGGTTCCCCTCCCCGGCCCCGCCATCCCCTCACGACCCCCTCGCCCCCGTTACCCCGGCAACCGCCCCCCCCCTCCACTCACGGCCGGCCCCGCTCGCTCCCGGCCCGGCCGCCCCGCACGCGCCCGCCCACGGCGCACTCCCATTGGCTAAGGCGGAAAAGCCGATTTCTGATAGGCTGCCTGAGCTGTCAATCAGCACGACCACGCTGAGGTAGGGGGAAGCGGCGATTGAGGTCCGCGGGAAACGCGTCCCGCAGCGCTGGGTTCCGGGGCAGCGCTGGGTTCCGGGGATCGCCGGGAACGGGAAAAACGGGAAAAAACGGGAAAAACGGGAAAAAAGGGAGCGCCGGGAATGGGAAAACCCTGGAACAGCGTCCCCGACACCCACACCCCCTCCTCCTGCCGCTCTGTGATCAAACCGCGCCAATGGAAGCTGCAGGGAGAGCTGAGGCCCACCTGAAAATTCCATAAAATTCCATAAAATTCCATAAAATTCCCATTTTTTCTTTTCGCTGGCAGCTCCCAGAGGAGCCAGGACTTTCTGGGAAATTCTAGCACTTCATCTTGGAGCTCAGGGCCAGGCAAATCCTCTGGAATCAGGAGCTGCTCCTGGTAAGGCAGGAGAAATTCCCTGTAAAACCTCGCCTGGAATTCAGGGCTGGAAAAACCCAAAAAAGGGTGGAAAAACACCAAAAAAAAAAACCGAGAGAGGAAAAAAAGGAGGAGGGTGAAGGAAAGGAAACAAAATGAGCCCAAAACAGAGGGAAAACGGCTCCGTGGTTTCCGTATTTTTGGGTAATTCCAGAATATTTTCCTTTCCGGCCTCAAATTCCTTCGGCTACAAAAAAGAAAAATAAAAAGGGATTCAGGGAAGGAGAAATAGGGGGTGAAAAATTAAAAGTTTTCCTGTTTTTGTGCTGTAGGAAAGCGCAGGAGGAGAATTCCCACCGGGAAGGCCCAAAAACATTGGGAAAAATGGGATAAACAGAGCCCCAAACCCACGGAAAATTCTGGAAAATCACCTGAGCACGCCGGGATAACAACCAAAGTGTCCAAATGTTTTTATTCCTCACGAGTGACACGAACCACATGAATTCCACGGAGCCTCCTCCAAAAAAAAAACCAAAAAAAACCCCGAAACAAACAAAAAAAAAAATCACATTTCTTTTAAAATTTTTCCATGATTTTTTTTTTTTTTTTTTTCCGTCTCCCGAACGTTCCGGAGGGAGCCAAAAAAAAAAAAAAAAATCGGATTTAAATCCCCTTTTTTTGGATTTCAAAAAAAATCCTCTGCTCTCACCCCGCTGGGAATTTGAGGCGGCTCCAGGAGTTTCTCCCTGCCCGAATTCCTGGATTTTTGTTTTGGATCCAAGTTTGGATCCAAAGGGGGGGGGGAATTTTTGGTTCCCTCCACCCCGACCCCAGCTGACATGCAATTAAAAAATAAAAATAATTAGGAAAAAACTCCTTTAAACACACTAAAAACGCTTTCACTCCCTTCCCTGCTGACGTTCCATGGGAGAAATTCCCATTTTTTTTTTGTTTTTTCCCCAGAGTTGCCGCACACCCAACGGGATTTTCCAGGATTTTTTTGGGATGGGGGGAAAAAAAAAGAAAAAACCCCAAAAAAATGTCCTGGCTCCCCCGTGGATCCTGGAAAAGGGAGCGGCAAAATTCCCGAAAATCCCAGACTTGGAGCGAAATCCTCATTCCCAGAGAGCGGAAAATCCCGGGAATTCCAGGGTGGGGACGAGCAGGGACTCAAACACTTCTTGGAAGTGGCTCCCGAGGAAGGGAAAATTGGGGGGGGTTGGGGGGGGGGAAGAAAAATAAATGAAGAATTCGCTTGGAAATTCTGCAAAAAAAAAACCCCCAAAAAAATCGGGAATAAAAATCCCCCAGGCAGCGATTTGGGAATTTCCCAGCGGAATTCTCCCAGTCCGGGTGGGAAATTCTGAGTTCAGCTCTGCTGGGGCTGCCAGGAAAATGAAATAAAATTTAAAAAAAAAAAACTTGGGAAAAGGGGGGAAAAAAAGGGAGGAGCAGGGCGGGAAAATTGGGAATTCTCGGTGGCATGCAGGGCACGGAAAGATTTGGGAATTATTTCGTTTTTTATCCGTTGAATTTTTGGGGTTTTTTTTTCCCCCCCCCCTTCTCGGACACTTCCAAGTCAAGAAATGGCGACACGGACGCGGCTCCCAGCTGGAAAAGCAAATTCTGGAATTCCCAGGGGCTGTGGAGAGAGGAAAAACAGGGAATTCAGCTGGGGGAAAAAAAGGGGAATGTCATGATTTTAATTGGTTTGAATTTCTTTTCGTTTCTTTTATTTGAAATGGATTGCTTTATTTTGGAGTTTGATTTAATTTCAGTTTAATTGGTTTTAAATTGAAATTGTTTAATGTTAAATTAAATGTAAATTAAATTTTGATTTGGTTTTATTAAAACTGACAGTTTTTGATTATCAACTACAATAATCATTAATTCTAAGAAAATAATTATATTTATATATATATAATATTATATTTTATATATAATTATTAATTAGAAGAAATACTCATTAATCACTTATTTCATCTTCTAATAAACAAAAATCACGCATTTAACAACTTTAATAAAAAAACATTATTTCTTTAATATTCTTGATTAATTAGAATAATTTCTTTATTAACTATCATAAGAAACCATCATTAGTCAATTATTTTATCTTCTAATAAACAAGAACCACCCATTTAGCAGCTTTAATAAATTAAATATATTAAATATATTAAATAAATGAAATAAATGAATTAAAATAAATGAATTAAATAAATGAAAATAAATTAATTAATTAACTCAAAATAATTAAAGTTAATTAATTAAATAAAATAAATAAGGTAAATAAATAAAATTTAATAAATTCAATAAATAGAACAAATTAAAAAAATAAATAAAAATAAAATAAATAAAATAAATAAAATTAAATAAATAAACTAAATAAATCAAATAAATTAGACACATAAATAAAATTAAATAAATAAATTAAATATATTAAATACATTATATACATTAGATAAATTAAATAAATCAAATAAATCAAATAAATTAAATACAAAAATAAAATTAATTAGATAAATAAATTTGGAATTTATTTAAATAAAATATTTTTATATTTTATAAATATATATATATAAAAATATATATAAAAATATATATAAATATTTTATTTAAATAAAAATGGAATTCCCTCATTTTGCCTTTTCAGTGACATTAAAAAATTTTTAGAAAATTTTCAAAAATCAACATTTTAAATGTTTTTCTTGGAATGGGATTGAATTGATTGGAATTTCCTGGAATCCCGTGGGATCCCGGCCTTCTCCCACCTCACTCCTGCTGCTCCTCGTTGCTGGCGCTCGGGGTCCGGCTCCGGATTTGGCTGCGGAGCTGCTCGATCAGCTCGGGGTTCTGCTGCTGCATCTGCTGCGCGAACTGCTGGCCCCTGCATGGGGACACGGGGACATCAGGGACACGGGGACATCGGGGACATGGGGACATCAGGGGACACACGGACATCAGGGATATGGGGACATCAGGGATATGGGGACATCAGGGGACACAGGGACATCAGGGGACACGGGGACATCAGGGGACACGGGGACATCAGGGACACACGGACATCAGGGGCCACGGGAAATTCGGGGACAGGGGAAC